TTTGTGGTGGGGTCGAGGTATTGGGTTCGACGTGGCAGGCAACCTGAGCGTTTGAGGGGGTTTGAGACGCCCGACTGTAGATGCTCTTAGAGCGTCCAGAACTGGACCTCCCACACGCCCCTCATTTATTCGTAGGACAACCCGGACCCAAAAGCCGCACTCAACTGGACACCTAATATTCGGCCAAATTGTCTAGGTTATTTGGCACCCCTTAAATCCAGTCCATATGTGAGACGAATATGACGAAGTCCGTACATGTCGGAAGTGGCTGTCATGTCAGGCTGACCCATGTTTCCCCATCCCAACCCCACATAAACCCCATACCATCCCCATTTGGACCAAACCCAAGCACTCTCAACTGCTAAGCTTCCTTCACACTCTGCTCCGATCTGCACCCTCCTCGTATATCCCCCTCCCTTCCCCATTGATTGGGACGCACTCGCCAAGTCAAATTCTAGCTCCTTCAGCCGCTGCTCCTTTCGGAAGGCGTTGGGTGCTCGTGCCCATGGCTTCCCGATCCAGAGGAGCGGTTTGCTCGTCATGGAAGGAAGAGGGCGGCGCTGGCTAGATATAGATGGTTCGGTTGCGGGTCCTGTAGATTTGTGCTTAGGCCACTGCCCACCGCGACGTCATCTGCTGATACCCTTCACCATCAATGCAAATGCCAAGGCACTGCGGCCCGACATGGAGGTGTCCGAGTGGCCCTCCTACACCGAGGAGTACTACCGCCACTCCGGAGACCCTAAGAGGAAGGTCGTCGAGGAAGTGGTGAAGTCCGGCGTCCGATATCTAACTTTTATCTATCGTTTAGCTATAGATTATAGTCGATCGACGAACTTGCTATGTCCGATCTTTTTGTGAACTTGCTATACCCGGTTGTATAGACTTGCTATGTCAAATTTATGGGGCACTTGTAAAAAAAGAATGAAAATATATTTTTTCTTGAAAAGAAGTAGGGAAACCTGGACAAGGAAGGACATGAGCAGTACAGTTCCTTCCCGTCCCGTCCCTTGTTTTGGTCAAACAAGGCAAAACGCAAGGCAAGCAAAAAGAAGCAAGGCGGAGCAACGCTATCATGGCATGCATTAACTGAATTTCTACAATTCTATTTGGGGCTCGCCCCCTTTTCGATTTCCAGCAATGGCCGCCAAACCAGCACGCGGAAGGATCGTCGCTCTGAGGAGAACGATCTGAACCAAAAAAGAAGACAAAAGGGATCTCCGGAGGATCGTTGAGAGGTACGTATAATAACAAACAAAGAAACAAAGGGCGTGCAAGTAGGCATGCATGAGGCTAAATTCGGGAGCGCGCGGGCGTGGTACAGCTAGGCTAGGTGGAGCAATGAAGCCAGCCGCACTGCATCGAGCCATCCAAACACATGGGTGGCGACCTTGACTCGGCGCGCGATCAGATCAGATCGGATCAGATCAAGCTCCTTCGCTTTGCCAGTTGCAAAGCCAGCAGTAATTAAATCATAAACTCCCGCGGTCAAATTAATTGCCGTGTGATCCGTGCACATGCTTAATTGCGCCGTTATTTTACAATCTGTGCAGAGCCTCAGCTTTTGAGTGAAAATTGTGTGGAACGCACCGGAGCTAAGCTGTCCCCGGATAACGATACAGACAGACGACTCCGCAGCTGCCGATGCTCGGGACTGTACGTAGTAGTATACTGGAATCTCGGACGGTGGAGCTTTTACGGCAGCAGAGGATTCACGCGCTCGCAGGCGCAGGCTTTGCCAGGAAGGAAGCGAATGACGTGCTCCCGATCACACGTAGCAGTACAGGGTTAAAAAGAGAGACGAGACGGTCCGGCAATGATGCGGCCATTGATGCCACGCAATCGAATCGACCTACCCTCCCTCCGTCCCTCCCTCCCTCTGGATCTCGTGCGCGGCCCGAGAAGCCAACGCGCTTAATTGATCGGTGTAAAAAAAAAGAGTAGTATTTCGAGTCCTCTCTCGCTCGCTGGCTCACTGTGTACTGTAGCAACGGTAGTGCTAATGCTAACTAACGCCGGCCCACCAACCGGGCGAGCTTTTAGTTTAGTTAGTTTAGCTTAGGCGTCGTGGGGGTTAAGGCCCCTTAATCACGGGGTTCGTTTACCCTTTTGTGGAACGCCATGATGGTGATGATTGAGACGGGGAGTGTGTGTGTGTTAGTTCAGGTGTCGGTAGTCTGTGGCTGGCCAAAAGGGAGAGGTGGGCCGGGGAAAGCGTTTACACACACGCAGAGATATCACACACTCCCCAGCTAGCTAGACAAGGAGTAGTACAGTACCATCTTCCACTGGGAGAAAGGGCTAGAGCACGAAGAGGTAGTAACTGCCGATGGGTTTCGGTGCAGGACCAATTGCTGCGGACGTGCTGTACCACGGAGTGTGCGTACAAAGACAAGAAGCGACCAATCTACGGAGCCACATTGATTGCAGCCCCTTCTATGCCATCTCCGGCCAAAGACCACATCTAGCACTGCTCCTCCGACTACGTACCAAAAGTAACTGCGGTGTCGTCCAAAAGAACAAGAAAAGAAAATGCACCGTCCAATTCTGTCTGAAGAGAGAGAGAGAGGGGAGGAGTTAAGAGGCGACAGAGATGTGCAGGCGGCCGGCCGCAGTAATCACGGACGCGCAGTGTTAGCTAGCTCGCGCGAACTACTGCTAATCCAGCCCAGTCGGCGGGCCCACCGACAGAGACATCCGGCCCCATCATCCCAGGCTGCCGCTCCGAACAATAATCCGGATTATTACTTTTAAAAAAATAAAAATAATCCGGATTATTATTCTCCTAACTAATCTCCGGCCACGGGCTAAAGGCGATCCTGATCGGGTCGTGGAGGAGCCGACTAGTATAATGAAGAAAACGAGTATGTTGTGCTGTCACGGTCCGAGAGATAAAATATGAGCGAATAAGCGAGTGGGTTGGTGGGTCGAGATCATCATCGTCATCATCACCAGTGAACCAACGCTCGCTCGCTCCACTTCGTACCGACACTTGCTCTCTTCTCTCGCTGCAATGCAAATACGCCATCATCGAAACGGAACTCTTCTCCGCTAAATTATGATACTCATGCTGCTGTTTATTTATTTATTTTGTTTTTCGCGTTAGTTGGCGGGCTCCTTTCTCTCTTTCATTTCCTTTTTTCCTACGGGTCTCCCTCACGTCACCGTCCTTCATCAGTTTCGTCCAAAATATTTCTCTGCTTTTCTTCTTTCCAGAAGAACAAACATTAGCGGCAGTAAATCCCTTTTTGTACCATGGATATTTCAGCCCAAGCAGCGACCTTCTCGTCTCCTTTCCCAAGCAAAGCAAAGCGGACGATCCTCTGTAGCCAGACACGTACAGGCTACCAAAATTTTCATTTTCACACCCTGAGCAGAGAAAAAATAGATAGCGCCCAGCCCATGCTGTTTTTCCTCTCAAAGGAGCGTAATAACAACCTTGTTGACCAGTGCGAGACGGACAGCCCAACCAACGCAACCCCGCTCCCTATGTCTAACCAGTAGTCGAGTCTAGGGTCAACAGTCATCCGGCCCGGCCCGGCCCGGGCTCCGGTGCGTGGTAGCGCCACACCGTCACCGACACTTTCCTCCTCCCCTTTCTCTCTCTCTACAACCCTGATCGCACATGCGGCTAAGGAAAAAAACTCTGCCCGCACATGCCTGCGCCGTGGTTACAAGCAAGGTACCGATTGTTAACTCGCAATAATAATAATAATAATTCAGAGAGGGAGAGGGAAGTAGGGAACCGACAGTCTAGAGAGAGAAACGCAGGGGCGTGGGTGGGTGTAGAGAGAGAAAGCGAGGGGAGGGAGGACCGACGGGGCGAGCGAGTAGTACAAAACTGGGGCGCATGTGAGGGGGAGCCGTCGTCGAAACACACAGAGAGAGAGGCACAGGCACAGCGGGTTGGGGGCGGCGATGAGCTGTTTCTAGGAGGGCAACCACCACCACCACCACCACCGATTTGCCGAATAAAAAAAAGAACACACCACACCACATCGCAGTGGTACTACAACACCAGGCGGAAGCCCCCCCAGCCCTTCCCCAATTCATTCCATTCGTTCCCCATTCCCCTCCCCCAATCCCCCTCCCGCCGCCGCGCCGCGCCGCGCCCCGACCTCCTCTGTCTCGGCGCGGGCATCGGGATCCGGGGGATCTGGTGCGGGTCTGAGGGATGGAGGCCAGCGCCGGGCTGGTTGCGGGCTCGCACAACCGCAACGAGCTCGTCGTCATCCGCCGCGACGGGGAGCCAGGGGTGAGTGGCCCCGCCGCTTCCTTCGCTTCTGGTTCTGGTCTGGCTAGGTCGTCGGCGCCGCGGAATCCGCGCGCGAGGGTTCCGGAGGCTGTTGTTCTCCGTGTCGGTCGGGCGGAGGTTCTGTCGGGTTGCCGTTTCTCAATCTCTTCTTCTGTTTGTGTGGCGGTGGATGCAGGCGAGGCCGCTCAAGCAGCAGAACCGCGGGGCGTGCCAGATTTGCGGGGACGACCTCGGGCTCGGCCCCGGCGGCGACCCCTTCGTCGCCTGCAACGAGTGCGCCTTCCCCGTCTGCCGCGACTGCTACGAGTACGAGCGCCGCGAGGGCACGCAGAACTGCCCGCAGTGCAAGACCCGCTACAAGCGCCTCAAGGGTCAGTCTCACTCGTAGCCACCCCAATGCCGCCAGCGACCGAGCGAGCGAGCTCACCCTAGGTCTCCCAATTTCGATGGGATTTCTTCACGCGTTTTCTGACTCGGATTTGGTTGCAGGGTGCGCGCGCGTGCCCGGGGATGAGGAGGAGGACGGCGCCGACGACCTGGAGGACGAGTTCAACTGGAGGGACAGGGACGACTCGCAGTACGCCGCCGAGTCCATGCTCCACGCCCACATGACCTACGGCCGCGGCGGCGACCTCGACGGCGTGCACCAGCCCTTCCAGCCCAACCCCAATGTTCCACTCCTCACCAATGGCCAGATGGTAATTAACTCACCCTCCTCTGCCGTAATATCAGACTGCCTGCCTTGCTGGATGCTCAATTGCTCGCTCGCCGTGTGTAGGTCGACGACATCCCGCCGGAGCAGCACGCCCTTGTTCCTTCCTTCGTCGGCGGCGGGGGAAAGAGGATCCACCCGCTCCCTTATGCTGATTCCAACCTTCCTGGTGCGCATTTGGAAATATCATCTTCTCCTACTAGCATTTAGCTGTAACAGTGGTTCAGGGATACTGATGGTTGTTGTGCTGCAGTGCAACCGAGATCCATGGACCCATCCAAGGATATTGGTTCCTACGGGTACGGTAGCGTCGCCTGGAAGGAGAGGATGGAGAGCTGGAAGCAGAAGCAGGAGAGGCTGCATCAGGCCAGAAATGATGGCGGTAAAGACTGGAACGGGGATGGCGACGATGCAGATCTGCCACTGTACGACACTAGAAACTCGCTTCGCATCTATTAGTTTGGTCTTTAGCGCCTTTCTGATTAATTCTTGGTTTTAACTGCATTAGTATCGGTCAAACAGACTAGATAGTTCATGCTCAACTAGAGTGTCACGATGTGCTCCGTAGAGGACCTAAAATGCCAAAAGAATATCCATTTGAGTGTCGCGATGCGCTCCGTAGAGGACCTAAAACGCCAAAAGAAGATGTACATTTTGCTAAAACATGGAAACAAACCGGCGAATTCGTATTCCTTAGATCTATCTTAAAACTGCTGCATTTGTCTAAGCTGGGTGAAGATGTAACTGCGCAAGTGCCATTTAGTAATGACTACATGCTAGAAAAACAATAGTTCTCTGTTTTATTTGTATCTTTGACTACAAGGAAGAAAATTCTATCTGGTCTTTGCTTAGACAAAACTTTTTTGTTGTTGTAAAAAATGTGTTACTAGACTCTGTACTCGAGTACTAACTTTTTCTTGATTTTATTTACCAGCATGGATGAAGCTAGGCAGCCACTGTCCAGAAAGGTTCCCATTCCTTCAAGCCTGATTAATCCCTACAGGATGATCATTGTGATCCGTTTGGTGATTGTGTGTCTCTTCTTCCACTATCGTGTTATGCATCCGGTGCATGATGCATTTGTTTTGTGGCTCATATCTGTCATATGTGAGATATGGTTTGCCATGTCTTGGATTCTTGATCAGTTCCCCAAGTGGTTCCCTATTGAGAGGGAGACTTACCTTGACCGGTTGACATTGAGGTTGGTTACTGCTGCCACCTATTAATACTTGCCTTCTGTTATTCTCCCAAAGTTATGGAACTAACTGCTTGTGTTGTATTGTTAGGTTCGACAAGGAAGGCCAGCCATCTCAACTCGCCCCAGTTGATTTCTTTGTCAGTACGGTCGATCCCGCAAAGGAGCCTCCGCTGGTCACAGCAAACACTATCCTATCTATCCTGGCGGTAGATTATCCGGTTGACAAGCTTTCTTGCTATGTTTCTGATGATGGTGCTGCCATGCTGACATTCGAAGGATTGTCTGAAACATCTGAATTTGCAAAGAAATGGGTTCCTTTCTGTAAGAAGTATAGCATTGAGCCTCGTGCTCCAGAGTGGTACTTCCAACAGAAGATAGACTACCTGAAAGACAAGGTGGTACCAAACTTTGTTAGGGACAGGAGAGCAATGAAGGTGCATAATTTGAGCCACTTTGCTATGTTCCTTCAGTTGATAGAAGTGTATGCTAATTTTGGCCATGTCTTCTTTTCCAGAGAGAGTATGAGGAATTCAAGATCAGAATCAATGCCTTGGTTGCTAAAGCCCAGAAAGTTCCTGAGGAAGGATGGACCATGCAGGATGGAACTCCCTGGCCTGGGAACAATGTCCGTGATCACCCTGGAATGATTCAGGTATGCTTATTACAGTTCGTGGTGCTATCCAGCCTATATGCTGACATCAAATGGTTATTCCTTTTTCTTTTTCTTTTTCCCACTTTGCCCTAATGAAGTCCTATTTTGTCTACCAATAGGTCTTCCTTGGTCAAAGTGGTGGCCTTGATGTGGAAGGAAATGAGCTGCCTCGATTGGTTTATGTCTCAAGAGAAAAACGGCCAGGCTATAACCATCACAAGAAGGCTGGTGCTATGAATGCATTGGTAATAATAATATTTTGGATGCATTTTCAGCCAGTCTTCTCTATAGCTAGTAGTAGCACACAGTGATTTTAAGTTCCTTTCTAATGGTTTGCTCTTTTACAGGTCCGTGTCTCTGCTGTGCTAACGAATGCTCCATATATGCTTAACTTGGATTGTGATCACTATGTGAACAACAGCAAGGCAGTCAAGGAAGCCATGTGTTTCATGATGGATCCTCTGGTAGGAAAGAAAGTTTGCTATGTGCAGTTCCCACAAAGATTCGACTCCATTGATCGTCATGATCGATATGCTAACAAGAATGTCGTCTTCTTTGATGTAAGTCTTGGATTTCATGTTTCTGAGATATTTCTCTTGGCTACATTCTGTGTAACTTCGATGAAGTTTCCCTAACATTATTTGTCTCACACAGATCAACATGAAAGGTTTGGATGGTATTCAAGGCCCCATCTATGTTGGTACTGGATGTGTCTTTAGAAGGCAGGCGCTGTACGGTTATGATGCTCCCAAAACAAAGAAGCCACCGTCAAGGACTTGCAACTGCTGGCCAAAGTGGTGTGTGTGCTGTTTCTGCTTTGGTAACAGGAAGAACAAGAAGAAGGTTACCAAGCCAAAGACAGAGAAGAAGAAGAGGTTGTTTTTCAAGAAGGAAGAAAATCAATCACCTGCGTACGCACTCAGTGAAATTGACGAAGCAGCTGCAGGTACCACTCGACTTCCAGCATTTTGGTTATTTTAGAAACATCCTCAATAGTTAGTATTAACATGCCCTACTTTGCAATGTTTTCGGCAGGAGCTGAAACTCAGAAGGCTGGTATTGTAAACCAACAGAAGTTAGAGAAGAAATTTGGCCAGTCTGCCGTTTTTGTTGCATCCACGCTTCTTGAGAATGGTGGAACCCTGAGGTGTGATAGTCCAGCTTCTCTTCTGAAGGAAGCTATACATGTCATCGGTTGTGGCTATGAAGACAAGACAGACTGGGGAAAAGAGGTAAAGTCAGGAGCTTGGTTGCTGTGTGCTGATTAGGTAGTCCAAATATCTGTTGCCTAGTAGTAAATCATAACCATTTGTTTATTTATTTATTGCAGATTGGCTGGATCTATGGGTCAGTTACAGAGGATATCCTAACTGGGTTTAAGATGCATTGCCATGGCTGGCGGTCGATTTACTGCATACCTAAAAGGCCTGCATTCAAAGGTTCTGCGCCTCTCAATCTTTCGGATCGTCTTAACCAGGTTCTTCGGTGGGCTCTTGGGTCTATTGAGATCTTCTTCAGCAACCATTGCCCTCTTTGGTATGGGTATGGTGGTGGACTGAAATTTTTGGAAAGATTTTCCTACATCAACTCCATCGTCTATCCTTGGACATCCATTCCACTTCTGGCCTACTGTACGTTGCCGGCCATCTGCTTGTTAACGGGAAAGTTCATCACCCCAGAGGTAAAGCATACTTAGCTTCTAGTTCTATCTTCTGTGAAGTGGCAAGTCTGGTACGATTTAAACCTTACCCCCTTCCCTTTTGGTTCTGTCTTGCAGCTTAGCAATCTTGCCAGTATCTGGTACATGTCACTTTTCATCTGCATTTTTGCTACGGGTATTCTGGAAATGAGATGGGCTCGTGTCGCGGTTGACGATTGGTGGAGGAATGAGCAGTTCTGGGTCATTGGAGGTGTCTCTGCCCATCTCTTTGCCGTGTTCCAAGGACTTCTCAAGGTGATAGCTGGTGTGGACACAAGCTTCACCGTCACAACAAAGGCTGGAGATGATGAGGAGTTCTCGGAACTGTACACCTTCAAATGGACAACCTTGCTGATACCCCCGACCACCTTGCTCCTGCTGAACTTCATCGGGGTGGTTGCCGGCATCTCCAACGCGATCAACAACGGATATGAGTCATGGGGGCCTCTCTTCGGGAAGCTCTTCTTCGCATTCTGGGTTATTGTCCATCTTTACCCGTTCCTCAAGGGTCTTCTTGGAAGGCAGAACAGGACCCCGACGATCGTCATCGTCTGGTCCATCCTGTTGGCTTCGATCATCTCGCTCCTGTGGGTGCGTGTGAACCCTTTCCTCGCCAAGACCGACGGCCCTCTTCTGGAGGAGTGCGGTCTGGACTGCACGTAGGAGATGAAAGGATGGATCAACATCAGTCATCATGTGGAGTAATTTTGAAGGTGTTTTTGTGCCCATAATTTTTTTCTCTTCCATTCCTCCATCCCCTGTGTAGATAGAAAACAAACATGCAACAAGTGTTAAGTTATTGGTTTTGTTCCATGGTGGGTAGCTGGGCCTCATATATGCAAAATATTTGGGCAGACGGGAGGCTGCGGCAACCCTTGTTCACCTCTGTGCAGTTCGGCCACGAAGAAGAAAGAATACAGGCAGCAAGTCAGTCAGTCAGTCAGTCAGTTCCAGTGTTGTTTCATTGTCCAGCCAGCCAGCGATTCTTTATTTGTTGACCTTGATTTGAATGGAGAGGATAAAATGTATGTAAGTGAGCCGAAACTGAGAGCTGTCGTCTGTAATGCTATGCCCGAAGGATGTATTATTATGTATGTACAAACTGAAAACAACTTGTATTTTCTCTCTGTAAGGCAAGAATGCCGTTTGTAATAGAGGAAGCTGCACATTGTTTATCTAGCTTGTTTGGAAAGCTTCGAACATGGAAAAATGCCTGCATGCTTGCTGCCCATTCATGGTAGGGATTGTTAGCTTGCTATCTTCTTCCTCTATCTAGTTCTAGTTGTATGCATCATTGCTTATAATGACACACAGATTTCCAGTGGCGTCGGTATCATAAAACTGAAAGTCTGCCAGGCCAGGATTCTTAACTCTCAAGGGACCATGCCATAGCTCTGCGCCCTGCGATTCTGCGACCGACCAACAGCTAGCTGTGAATTCCGCCCACATGGTTACCGCTGGATTTGCCCGGCCGTGGTCCAGACACGGGAGGGGAGCCGGCCATGCTTAACTGTTAAGCGTTGTTACAGCAGTGCCAGTGCAGTGTAGGCGCAGGGCAGCCCGGTGGGAGCCGGATCCCCTGGCCACCTGACGTTGGGCCACTGACGCGTGGGTCCGGGTCCACACGTCAGCAAATGCGCCGTACGTCAGAGGAGCTGCGTCCAGCCCAGTGGGGTGGGCGGAACCGAATCGCACGGCGCGCAGGCACAACGGCACGTACGCCGCGCCGCGCCATGCCACATAGTACTTGACAAAAGATATGACTGCACATGCACGTGCCGTCCCATGTTCGCCGCTGCCTGCCGGCCCCGGCCCCAGTGCACCACTCGCCAATGGCCTGCTGCTTGATCCAGAGGCATATGCACATACTCTACATAAAATTCTGATGTGTTGCTGGTGGATGCCGAGCACGTTGTGTAGCACAGTCCAATTCTGGTTCCTGCCCCGCACATTTCGGCCCTTCTCCGACCCCCTTTCGCGCCTCCCTTGTTTGCTGTCGGTGGCTCGTCCCGACCCTGACCCTGATCTGATCTGGATATCTGATCACGGCTTGCATGATGGTTAGGTTAGGTTAGGATGGATTAGGCTTTAGGGGTTAGGTGGCACGTACCTTCCGCATCCAGCCTCTTCTCCATTATTTTCCCCCTTTGGCGTACAATGATTTGATTGATGCGCAAAGGAAAGCGAGGAGGCCGCATATATGGCTCGTGGGCGCGTAACTAATCATTCAGGCCTTGTTCGGTTGCGTGCGAATCCAAGTGGATTGAAGGGGTTTGAGGGGGATTTAAACCTCTTGTAAGTCAAAATACAAACCAATCCTTGCCAATCCCCTTCAATCCTCTTAGGGAGAGGATTAACCGAACAAGCCCTCAATGATGATCGACGGGGGAAAAGGGGTGGAGGCGGGCGTCGGTCGTGGAAATGATCAAGGTTTGCGTGTGGGTGGTTGCGGTTGACAGTGAGGTGAGCCGTACGCCCACCGGAATCGGATGGGACGCGCCAACGGACGATCGGAGACCCGGCCAGCCGGTGCCATCGATCTGTGCTTGCCTTGCCTCGAACAACCATCGTCGGTGCCCTGGTTAATCGTCGGTAGGAGTACTGCCAGTCGGTAATGCTACCGGCTTAGCTTCAGATTTTGATCTTGCCTGCGGCTTGTCGGTGGGTGCAGCGGCCGGCGTTGTGTACTATGCAACTTGTGTGTATGTGTATGCTCACTGCGCCTGCGTGTTTGTAGCGCTAGCACGTAATTCGCTTGTAGTTTCTGGACAAGCATACTGTACGTACGTACAGAATGCAGACAAGTCGAATCAAAGGGAAAGAGCTGCGTACGAAGTGCTACTGTGAGAAGCCAGCCAGGAGGCTCGATCGGACCACTGCTCTTGATCAGTCCCTCTCTCTCTCATCTTGCTTACTGGAAAAGATGACAAGAGCTTGCTTGATTGATTACTCAGCGAAAATCCTTTTTTTTTCTCCCCCCGCGTCTGCCTACCTCTAGCGGCACGGGGGAATCCTAGCCGCTGCAGCTAGCGGCCAACCCCAGCGCTCACCCCCGCATCGCCGCCGCCGGAGGGCCGGCCGGCGAAGCCGTGCCGGACCCAGGAAGGTGGCGGCGGGGCGGATCTGGCCTCTCTCGCTCCCCACCCCCGCCCCCGCTCTGCCTCGCGACTCCTTCGTCCCCCCTCCCCGGCAGCGACCCCTGGTCGGTCCGGCGCGGCTGCGGTGCGCCCAGGCCATGTTGAGCGACCGGATCCGGTCCCTCCCCTCCGTCTCGGGCTCGCCGTGACTTCCCCGGCCGTTGAGGACACCACCTCCCCTTCCCGTGCGACCACGGGTCTCTTCCCCGGCGCTTCGCCGGCGTCTTCTCCAGCTGCTGCCTTCGCTTGCCGGTCCGGCGATGATTTCGGCGTTGCCTTGGGCGCCTTCCCCTACGGTCTTCCTCACCACCTGCGGCGGCGCGGCCCAGCCACTATTGGTGCTGCTGCCGGCCATGGGTGGGGTGCCGGACTTGCGGCTGGATGCCGAGGAGTTCGCAGCCTGCGGCCTTCCTTATGCAAGCGGCCCCCCTGGTCTCCGGTGGCACCTCTTCCCCCAGGCCTCGGTGACGGCTTCTGGATGGAGACGGCGATGCTTCTAGGGATTTGGCAGACACGGGGCCCCTCGCGGTAGGTCCTTGCTGGAGCTGTTTCAGCCCCGGCGGTCTCGGGCCCGCGTCTCTCCGGTGTCCCCCGCCGTCGGTGCTTCTGCTGGGCGGCTCCGGCCTTGGCAACTGGATGGCTGCGTCCCTTCGGGCTCACCTGGTTCGCCCATGTTTCGACGGCAAGGCCACGACAGTTTTGGATCTGCGTCCCTCCAGTCCTTACTTGTCGGCGTTGCTGACGCCGTCGTCCTGACCTCCCGTGTGGTTTGCTTCGTTGCCTGCCCTTCCCTGTATGCCTCAAAGCCTCCTCCTTTTGCCAGATACAAAGCTCCTGGGTTCGAAGGCGGTGCCACCCTCCGACGGTAGGTGCAGCCCTGCCAACCCGCTTCCGACACGGTGATTCGGATCAACATTGGCTTCCTCATCTTCGACCCCCAATTCGGCGGCTATGGGATTGCTCAGCTTCAGGCTAGGGAGAAATCCCTGCTCGGCTTGCTGGTGCTGGCAACGGCGGCACCTGTGGGTGTCGTTTCCTTCTTGGAGGCGTTGTCAAGGCCTTCAGCTGCGCCCCTCTTCGAGCTCAGGGGAAACCCTAGGTTTGGTTCCTCCGGACCGGATGGCGACGACGTCTCAGCATCGTTTTCCTTCTTGAAGGCGCTATCTTGCTCGCTCGCGGTGTCCGTTGTATTGGCTCGGGTGATGTTGGAGTTATGCCTGGTTCGTCTTGGCCACTCTTGGTTTTGGGTTTGGTAGGTTTAGCTGTGTTGTTTCCTTCATTCGGGCCGAGCATCCCTTCTCTCTGCTCCGGGCATCATGTTCACGCCTGCCTGTGTTCGTGTCATGTGTTGTATCCCTCAATGTACTCATTCTACTCCTTTTATTAATAGAAAGATACACAAGCTTTGCGTATTTGAAAAAAAAATTGATTACTCAGCCGGCCGGCTGGCCGGCCGGAGAATACGATAATAATGTACTACTCTGTGTGCAAGTTGGCCACCACGCATGCCATCTTCACGCCTAGCCATGTAATTAACCACGGTCTGGAACGTCGTAAAAGAATGCATGCACGGAACCTTCCTCCGATCCGGCTTTACTTACTCGAGCGCTGAACAGAGTAATTTTCTTTTACTTGGTCGATCGATGAGTAGAGTATGTGGCTACTAGTACTTGGCACGTACTCCTTCTCGTTCTTTTTAGTTCGTATATAAGACTTGTGTGAAGTCAAACCTAGTAAAGTTTGATCAACTTTACAAAAGAAAATATCAACATTCACAATGTACAATTAATATCATTAGATATGTCATTAGTTAAATTTTCATATTGTATAACTTTAGTATGATAGATGGTGATATTTTTTCATATAAATATGATCAAATTTTATAAAGTTTGACTTCAAACAATTCTTATATGCAAAATAAAAAGAATCAAAGGGTGCATTTTTAATAGTCAACGCCCGCAGATGGCCAGTATAGTTGGCGAAGCAGATTGAAATAGATGGACAAAATCAATCAGGTGCCATAATATTGTCATGGCTTGCTTTAATGCTTGTAATCATCACTGATTTTTTTATGTTTGTTATATTATCATGATTGAAGATGAATAGATCTAAATGATCTTTTTTTTTAAATGCCGCAGCACGAGTAGCAGTGGCAGTAAATTCAGTGGTCTGTCGACCAATTGCCCGATCCAGTGGATGCGTGACAGAATCAGCGACCAGATCATTATCCAAAGCAGATCAAAGAGTCACTCCTCCTACTATCAGTTGTCGTCAGCTCAGACCGAGCAGCGGCAACATCGAGCTAGCATTTAAGAGCATCTACAATCAAACTTGATAAATTCGGTCACTCAAACGACTGCAAACGTTCTTAGGCATTGCCCACGGACGTATCCAGACGACCCCTTATATATCGTGTCTGACATTCATATATCTTAAATCCGAACTCTTAAATCCATATGAATCCATGCACGTGAATCATACATGTCAATGTCACATGTAAATAACAAATATTGATACCGAAAATAC